GCAACCTTAGGGAGGGTAGTAGGGAATGATGAAAGGATCCCGAAGGGGAAATAAGAAGGGAAAAGAGTACTGGACAAGGAAGGCTGAAATCCAGAGAGGGGAAATTTACTTAAACCAACATCCTGGCTCACAGACTGAACAACAATGGCAACTGCCTCAGTTTCTAGAGGTGGAAGCTCAGAGGACCTTCGGGATGATGAGGCCTTTCTTGAAAGAGAAGTACATGGATTCAGGTTTCTCAGAGGTCAGACTGTGACCATCCTCCTCAGTGGCAGGAAGTGTGCTCAGAGAAGGACACATGCTCTGTGAGGCTGGGACCATGAAAACACCAGCTGACTTCAGGCAGCCCTGCCAATCTGGTCGGCAGGGCAAAAAAGACTAGGGATAGGGTGGGGAGGTTCTGCTGTACATACTGAAGCCTGGGCAGCTAGTCTGAGGTAATGTGGTCACCATCACTTCTTGTGAGGTCAGAAAGATGAATGGCTGCCAAGTATCTTCAAGAAGAAGTACAGCCTAGCCTCTCTTCTCTCACTGGAGTTATCCATTCCTAGAACATCTCAAAAAGTGGAAAGAGCCAAATAGGTTCTGCCCCAAGGTTCTGCCCCAAGGCAGAAGGCTGTGAAGGGCCTTCCAGTCAGGACGGAAAGGAGCAGCTGCTGACCCTGAAGAATAGGATACCAGACCACAAGAGTTAGCCTTAGTCTTGCTCAAAGTCTGTGTCTTCTAAGCTTACTAAATGCCATAGACTATGCTAGGATGGAGGAAAGGGATGAATAATAAGGAAAAGTTCCTCCGGAGGATCTACCAGCCTAGGGGAAAGCGTCACCGAACAACTCTACACAGTGTAGCTGAACAAATGCCTGACTACAGTGATGGGAGGAGAACAAGGCACCACCAGAGCCTGGGGCTTGCTCCAGCCCAGGCTGTGTCAGCCTGCCTGAGTCGAGAACACAGTTCTTCTCAGACTACCCCCGTCAGCTTCCCTTCCTTATCAAAGATGATATTAACCCCAACTCACAGAAGAAAGGGAAGCCACTGGTTGGGTAACGTTATTTTTAAAATAAATTTTATTTTATTTTGTCCCCCTTCGGGTAATATTCTTTTTAAAAAATTACCACCTTCAGCACCTATTATTTTCCTTCTTCCTAAAGCTGACTACTTCATCTATAATTTGGATCCTTCACATCATGTTTTTTGAGGAATTCTACTACACCACCGCTTACCCATTTTTCTCTTCTCTATGATCAATCTGTCCTTCTCAATGGGATTCACAACCTCACAACCTCACAACTTGAAAACAAAGTGTTTTTTGACCTGACCTTCACCCATAGCTACTTATCGCTCTCCCTTTTCTCCCTCACATAGGCAAACTTCTTGAAAGAGTTCTCCACTCACTGCTTCCATTTCCTCACCTGTCACTCCTCAGCCCTTTCTAACAGAGTTTCCATTCCTAGAACAACTCAGTAAACTGTATTTACCAAGGTCAAATGACCTCAGTGTCATGTACTCCAACAGACACTTAATTGTCTTGATTACATTCTCAGTAGCATTTGACCCCAAGAACCCCTCATTCAACTTTTTTTACAAAGTTTGTTTGAAAAAGTAAAAGTGAAGAGTGAGGGAGAAATTGGCCCTGCAGGGTGAGTTTGGGCTGAGTAAAAGAGGACAAAACAAGATGAAAGTACACCCTGGAGTACACAGGGTCAGCTAACATGAGGAAAGCCGCAGTAGCCTCATCCAACTTTCATACATGGCTTCCACACTCTAAATTTCCTGATTTTCTTTCTGGTTTTTAAATGTCAGCTTCTCAGGCATCTTTGCTGGCTCAGCTTCCTCTACCAGCCATTACAGGTTGCATTTCTTACAACTTGTTGTTATTCCTTTCTTCTTTTCCTATTCTATATTCAACATATGTATTTATTCACGCCCATGTTTCAGTCTCCACCTATACCCTGAGTACTCCAAAATTTACATCTCCAGTTCAGATCTCTCATCTGAGCTCCAGACATGTACATCCAACTTTGTACTGTACAGTTCCATTGGGATGTCTCTAATATGTCATTCATATTTTTAAAACTAATATGTAATTCATATTTCTCACTCCTGCCACCTAAGTGGTTCTCTTTCAAGATCTAGGATCATGGCATGACATGCCCACCCACCCTGTTATGCAGACTAGAGGGAATCTTTGATACAACTTTCTCCCTAACTCCCTATATTCAATCCAGCCCCAGGTACTGAACTCTCTGAAAAAACTTTTCTGGAGTTCCTCTGCACTGCACCTCCACTACCAAGTCCTTAAGATCGAAATTCTTACCACAGCCTAAACTGTCCTGCTTAACCTGGCCCCTGCCTGCCTCCCTCTTACCCCCAGCCTCATTGGCTTTTTTCTGATCCCTCAAAAACTTCATGCTTTCTCTTCGAACATGATTCTCCTTCTGTTTGGGACTTCTTTCCCTACTCCTAATTATTCTTATTCCTTTACATCTTAGTTCAAATGTCATGTTCTCAGAGTAACCTTCTTTGATTCTCTCTCTTGTGGGCCCTCAAAACACCACATATCTTTCCTTCATGGTTGTTATGGCTTGTGTCTAGATGTCCCCTCAAAGCCTCATGCCATCACAGGGGGTGCTTTTCAGAGGTGTGTGGATCTAGAGTATGTGGTGCCGGAGTCAAGGATGTGTGATTATTAAGTCAGTCCACTGACTGGTTTGGCATAGTTCTGGTTATGATTAAGGGTATGAGTGCTACACTGCCCTAATCCCAGTAGCCTGGATACAATATAAGGGACAGAAAGAGGGCTAATGTGCTCTCACTTGCCTGCTTGCCATGGACTGTTTCTTCTGTGTTGCCCCTCTGCCATGCCTTGGAACTAGCTGACCATGGACTCAAACCTCTGCAAACTGAGCCAAATAAACCTTTCCTCCTTTAACTTTGGATGTTGGGCATTCTGTCTCAGCAATGAGAAAGTAACTAAAACAATGGTATTTATTACTTTTGTAATGTTATTTTTGAAAATTTTCCTCCTAGGTTATCAGCTCCATGGGAACAAGGACCTAGCCCTAATATATATATATATATACATATTTTGTGTGCTCAAATCCTATATGTTGAATGAGTAAATAAATATCAGCTGCATTATTTCAAGGGATCACTGTGGATAGTATGCTGAGACTACATAAAGGAACATAAGCAAGAGGGCATGATATTAGAGCAATCAAGAGAAAACAAGGATGATGATCTAGATCAAGTTTAACGGCAGGAAGGATGGAGCAAAATAAATGGATTTGAGGAATATTTTTAAAGTGGATATGAGAGAATTTGGTGAAATTAGATGTAGAGGGGTGAGAGAAAGGTGTTCATCTGGAATGCTGCCCAAGATTCCAGCCTGGGTAACTGATTAGGAAGTGTCCTTTCTAAAATTTGAAGGAAGAATAGATTTGGAAGTAGGGTGGACACGAAACCAGAGGATATAATTCAGCTTGGAGTCTGTAGTTTGTAATTCCCGTTGGACTTCCAAAGGGATGTCAATAAGACAACTGGATATATGAGTATGGGATTTCAGGATATGTAAATTTGGGAATCAGCATATGTATGAAATTTGATGCTCTGAAAGTGAATAAAATACCCAGGGAGAAAAGGTAGACTGCTCAGGACAGAACCAAGAGCATCATCATCATATAAAGAGGGAGGGAGAGCAAAGAGATAGAGGAGCAGCAGACAATGCCCAGGAGAGAACCCGAGAAAGCTTCAAGGAGAGTGAACTGACACCAACAGAATAAACGCTGCTAAAGGTAGTGGGATCGCCTGCAAGTGTCCATTGGAGTTCGCCACAGGGAGGTCTCCGGTGACCTTGGCAGCCACAGTTTCACTGTATGACAGGGTTAGAGTGGAGTGGTTTTAAGAATGAATGGGAAGTTGGGAAGTGTAGGCAAGGTTTTGGCTTTGAAGGGTGGAAAGAGCTGGGACCATAGCTGGAGGGGCTCAGATCGCAAGAAACACAGGCAGATTCAAAAACAGGTTCAGAACAACCTCTTAACTGGAGGTGGGAAAGCTGCTCCTGCCAGGGCTAGGCCTCCCGGCAGAGCTGGGGACACAGCCGGCCCCAGGGCACACCCCTCGGTCGCCGAGGGCAACAGAATGCGGCTTGACAGATCCCTGGCCTGGGACTCCGGCTGGAATCCGCGCGGCCGGCCTCCCACCCCACCCCAGCCCACCGCACCCCACGTCCCCTTCTCAGC